ACAGGGGAAAAAAAACAGGGGGAAAAATACAGGGGAAAAAAAACGGGGAAAAAAATTCACCCAGGAAAATCGCCTCTTGTTGGCTTCTCCTTTTAACCAAGGAGGGGAAGCGCTCTTAAAGGTTATTATCTATTAGATATCTATAGATCTGTTAAAGATTATTATCTATTACTTGGATATTGGGAAGAAATTCTTTCCTGTGAGGGTGGTGAGACACTGGAACAGGTTGCCCAGAGAAGCTGTGAATGCCCCATCCCTGGAGGGGTTCAAGGCCAGGCTGGATGGGGCCTTGAGCAACCTGGTCTGGTGGGAGGTGTCCCTGCCCAGGGCAGGGGGGTTGGAACTCCATGATCGTTGAGGTCCCTTCCAACTCAAACCATTCTGTGATTAAAGGAGGGGGTTCCCATATAAAAGCCCATGGTTATGGAAATGGCACGTTCGATGGAGCCCTTTGGCAAAACACGGACTGGCCCCAGCTGGGCACGGGGGAGAGCCCAGGAAACCCATGGGAAAGGCCAGGGAGGAGGCCTGGGCAGCCTGCCCCCTGCCCTGTCCTGTCCTGTCCAGCAGCACCAAATCACCCCCAAGGACAGAAGATCAGTAACTGTACCCCAGCTTTTTAAGAAACACCCCCATCCTAGAAGAAAGCTTCCTGAATGAAGGAGCTGAGCAAACTAAAGTAATAATTTAAATTTTTCTAAGATAAAAGCGGTGCTAAAAATGAAAAAAAAATATTCCTCAAGAGAGGCCATGGACAGACATCTCAGGGAAAGGGTTCCTCCTGCCTGCGGGGAGCCTTGACATCAAAGCCAGCTCGGGCATGGGTCACCTCCAGGAGGGAGCCCTGTGGCTCACACCTGGCTGGGGCTGGCCAGCAGGGCCCCAGGACGTGGCAGAGGTCTCCTGGTGGCAGTGGTGACCAGCTCAGTGCTTCGGGACGCGAGGCTCACGCTGGGCCCCGGTCCAAAGGCAGGGGGTCTCCTGCCCTTTGGTGGAAGCAGCACTGGCTTTAAACGCTGGTGCTGAGCTGTGGTGAAGTCTTCCTATGGATTTAGGCAACAGTTTTATCGTCAGGTAGGGTTCTAACATATTTCCAGTTAGCCATCAGCCAGCTGAGGCATCTATTGCAACATTATCAAAGCCAATCAAAACACCATACTGGTAATATTAGTAGAGAAAAATGCTATTATAAATGTAGCTGCTGGGTCACAGAATCACATGGGGTTAGAAGGGACCTCTGGGATCATATAGTCCAACGCCCCTATCAAAGAACATCCACCCAGAGCAGGTTGCACAGGAACGTGTCCAGGCAGGTTTTGAATGTCTCCAGGAGGTGGAGACTCCACCACCTCTCTGGGCAGCTTGTTCCAGAGCTCTGCCACCCTCACAGGAAAGAAGTTCCTCCTCATGCTTAGATGGAACTTCCCATGCTCAGGTTTGTGCCCACTACCTCTTGCCCTGTCACTGGGCAGGCACTGAAGAAAGACTGGCCCCATCACCACACCGCCCTCAGAGACTGCAGGGAGGGTTTCTGGGGTTATCAGGCTGGGGGTGTGAAGCCCAGCCCTCCCAGCAGCAGCAGTTCCCAGGGAGACAACCTCAGGTACAGACACCAGCTCCCGTTCCTCACACCTGCCATTTTTTAAGCGCTGAGTTTCCCAGGCAGCAGTGGACGCAAGCGTTTGCAGGAGCAGGTTTGAGGAGCTTGACCCAAAGCCTATTAAAGCTGGAGGCACTATATCCTTTGATCTCAGGGAGCTTTGACTGGGGACCCGCTGACCTGGGTGGATTTTGGTCTGATGTTTTATTACTGAGTTCTCCTCTGGGTGGGTGGGTGGGTGAGCAAATCAAATCAAATCACAGCCCTGAGAAATAAAAGAAGACAGAGTAGTGGAAAGGCACGGTTCCCTTGCATTAACGCAGCAGTATTTTTACAACAGTGATTTTTAAACTATATACAGTTTTTAAATAAAAATTTCATAACTAAATTATGACTATCTTTACAAACACTACGCAGCACTTCGGTGTAAAGCAGGGGACACACACACACACACAAATGGAGTTAAGGAGAGGGAGGTACGTGTGATGAGAATTTCAAACCGGTATTTATTTGTGGGTGCCAAAATATATTTAATGTTTTATTAGCTGTGGAGTATGCGAGACAGCTTATTATGTTTGGCTCAAGCAAAGCAGCCAGTCTTTTTAACCGCGGAGCATCCGTTTGAAATGACTAGCACCAGGCACAGACCAGGCAGCCTATGAAATATTTAGCTCCTAAAGCATTTCAACATGGGAGGCTGGGGCCAGACACAGGTGCTGTGGGGTTGAGAACCCCAGTGCCCAAATCTGAGGTACCCAGTCACCCAGAGAGCAGGGCCACGGGTCCCCAGGGTCCCCAGGAGCCAGGGTGCAGGAGCCCCTGCTGCGCACAGACTGGTCTGGGAGGACACTGGCACCAAAGCCTTTCCTGGGACTCGGTTTCCCAAAAAGTGCTGCCTCTTACACCCCTCTCCCCAATTTGAGTGGCTGAAAGCACTGTCCTGTAGGGGTAAGGAAGGCATTCTCCCTTCAGGAGAAATCGTTTTGAACCAAGTTTGACCTTTTGGTTGTCAAAAGATCTGATATTTATTATTAGCTATTTATATTAATTTATTTACTTATTAGATTCTGCTAGATCTTCCTATAAAATACTCAGAATTCTCCAAATGCCTGACATTCCCTGCTCTGCACACACCTGACAACCGCTTGGGTGTCCCCAGAGGGATACAAACGTTTCCTGACAATAAGGTGCACGCAGCATAAATAGGCTGGCAAAGGGAGGAAAATGCTGCAAACTGACCCAAAGAAGTCACCGAATGGTGCTACTATTGGCATTGCTGGCAGGGTGACCGGCTACTGGGCTAGGTGATGGCTATGGCTGTGCTGAAGTTTCAGAGGGACTTCAGTAAAAAAGTGCTAACCTACTGCTTTTGGTGCATAATTTGTCACTTGCCAACCTCTGTAGCAGACGTGGCAAGCTTTTAACGAGTTTCTCCAATGGTGGCATTCCAAAAGGAGTACAAAACTCCCTGGAGGAGTACTGGATCCAACCAGAGATCCAACCACCAGCTCAGTCCCTGGTCACCACTTGCTGGCTGAACCAATTCACACTTACTCCATTTCTCAATTAGTTGGGGGTTGTTTTTTTTTGTTTTGCGTTTTTTTGTTTGTTTTTTGTTTGGGGTTGGTTGGTTTGTTGTTTGTTTTTTTTGCTTTGGTGTTGTTTTTTGTTTTTTTTTTTAACATAGGGCTTTATGGAGGCACAGGTTTCCAATTCAGTAGAAGAGTTAAAGAAGGGAAGTTAGGACAAGTATTCTTTGCCCCAGTAGCTCCTCCCCCCCCCCAGCATGCCCACAGTCACGTGATACTTTCCAAAATCTATTTATACGTGCAGTAATCCACTCACTGGACGGGTTGGAAAATGTTATGCAGGCTGAAAAGCATCAATATAGAGTATGAAGAGCTAAAAAAACCCCAAAGTTTTCTCATCGACTAAAATCTCTGAATAATCCAAAAGCCTCTAAGTTTTACCCAATGTGCTCTGACGGCCTTGCCATAAGGTACTTTGGTAGAGTTTCACAATCCAAACCATGATGCAAAGTAGGTCTGCTTCAGTGCAATAACTAGCTTTATAGGTTAAGTCACTGCCTTTAAAAGAAATGCTCTATTTTAAAAAACTTTGTTGATGGGAAAGCTGTTCCCTCCCTCAGCTACCGATTTTTCCTGGTTTTTTTACGATTCTTGTTTCATTACGCATTGCTCTCATATTCTGTGCACAACTGAGATTTACCAAAGCCTTTTCTTAGAGCTCGTATTTTCTTAAAGTATTTCCGTCACGTCTGCAACCGCGTTGATTAAAAGTAAGGACAAGTATGATTAGAGAATGCCCGAGCACAGGCCGCAGAAATCACTCAGGGCTGCCCTAGTTTTCAACTCTGTTACTACAAAACTACATGACAGTGGTGATTGCACATTTGCTCCAAACCTTAGGGCACAACATTGATTTCTAGATCACAATTATTTCTGGAACATCCCATCCTCCTGTTCTCAAATAAGGGTTTGATAGTTTTTAACTTCAAGTTTGGAATATAAATGTAAACCTTAATTCCACTTTCTTGTATGAAGAGATCCTGAATATTTAAAATACAGTGTTTAACCCATTGCTATTAATTAGATATTTTTTTTTGGTTACTTGAATGTGCACATACTGCTATGGCTCAGAGGAGAAAAACAACATGATCCATCAGTATATTCACTGAACTTCATACACATTAGTGAACCCCCAGCACTATGTGAGAACAGCTGACTATTATCATCAGTCTTCATCATGACTGCAATGAGATATTTGGAGAAAGACTTTTTTTTTCACCCCCAAAAACCAGGTAAGATGATACCCCATTTAGCAGCAGAACTTGAAGCCCCTGTGCTCAGTTTTACTCATGTACTTACACTTCAGCGTGTGCTGCTGTATTTCAGTGGGTAGGGGTTGAATTGCAGTGATTCATTCCATCCAGTCACCAGCACCTGTGCAAAAACATTTGGAACTATTTAAGCCACCTTATTTGCCAACTTTTGTGTGAAGAAACAACATTATTTACTTAGAACTTGTCTAGATACTTACAAATGTGCTAAAAAGTTAATTACGACAATATGTTAGACTATAAAGAGACTCTGCCCAAATGAGATGTAACGTGTGGGTATTAATTCTTTTCTCCCATATAACAACTATGTTTAACAGCAACAAGAATAAACCAGAAGAGGGGTTATAAAATAAATTACACATTTCTGTACAGCACAATTTTTTATCCAACTGAATGTAATACTTGTTGGATTCTTTTCTTTCAATGGGCGGTAGCCATTAATCCAGAAATTAATAGAAAGTTTGTAGTGGAAGTCTGGGCAATTTTAGGAATCCTTAGAACAGAAGTTAATTCACAAAATGCATCTTGGTTGTTTGATAAAATCTGTAATTAAAACATATTATACCGCATCTCATTGAAATACTATTAAAAGGACCCCATTAAGAAAATATGTTGGTGGTTTTTGTAGAAGAGAGAAGACAAAGTTTACAAGAAAACATTAAGTCAGACGGAGCCCACAAAACTTTTGTCCTACAGCAGGGGGTGGCGCTGATGCCCTGGGGCTCTCTGAATTTCCCCAGCTCCCCAAAGGCAGGGCAGGCAGTGCCTCTGAGTAGAGGTGCAGTGAAGACACCTGAGGAATTCAGAAGCAGCCAAGAAATCTTTAAAAACAATTCTGACTATTAATTCTCATTGGAGATGACAATTTTCCAGACTAGTGGAATTTCTTCCAGCGGGGGGAGGTTGACCATTTCCAAGACTCACTGGTGGTGAGCCCTGACTCGGGCTCTGTAGAGGAATAAACCACATTCCCTGGGGAATTGCAAACACCAGCCTCATGTCTGTGGCTCATCTTGGTGCCATGGCAATAACTATTTAAGAAGCCTTTCTAAACGATGGCTCCCTCTGTGGTGTATACAGAAGCCAAGCACAAAATCACCAAAGCAGCACTGCACGTTCATCATGAAGGAAAAAACGAAGCAGAAGCGATTCCCCAGGAGCTTTGGGGGAAAGAGGCAGCAATACCTTCTGCTTCAGTCTACATACAAAGCTGGAGATGGTGTTTGGCAGGAGGTCAGCAGCAAGACCATAAGCTAAGAAAGACACGTGGCTTCAGCCACCCCAGTGCCTGGCAGCAGCTCAGGTACGGTTTGCTCCCGCCTGTGCAGCCACACACCTACCTCTTTGTGAGCAGAGACCATCCTCACCCCGCCTGCAGGACTAGGAAACACAAACCTGGAAAACAGTAAATACCAAATATTATTTACGCTTCGCTAATAAGGCACTATACCAACCAGAGAAATATTCCTAATTTGTCTGCAAGTCCTCTTTTCTTTGTTTTTTTTTAAATCAGTATCTAACAGCAGTCAAGCATGAAGCAGGGGAGGACATGCAAACCAGCCATGCAAAGGCCAGGCAGCAGCACAGCCAGGGGATTAACTGAACATGAGGCATTAGAATATTGCAAAGAGGATCAAAAGAGCTTTGCCACTGCAAAGCCGCCCACCAGAATGACAGTCAGCTGAGAAGCTGGACAGACAGAAAGCGGGTAAACCTTTTACGTTTGCATCTCTCTTAGAATAAACTCAAACTTCGGGATGTGCACTGCAGTACGTCACATCAGGCTTCTCTGGGACACGAGGCTGCAAACAACACCATCTTCTTTCTAAACCAGAAATTATAGCTTTGTGATAGTCGAATATTATCCAGCCAAAAAAGCAAAATCCCACTGAATATGGTCACTGACATGCCAAGCCTAAGAGCCCCGAGGAGAGCAGCAAAGCAGTAGCCATACAAAAATTGCCACACAAGGGGAAATATTACAGAGAAATAACAGGAATTTAAGAGCTTAACCTTCCCATAACAGTCCCTTCTCCAAAATAAGCATTACTCCCAGGTTTCCCAATCCACAAGATATTAAAAATAAAATATTAAGTAGGAAGTTGCTTTTAAGGGAGATAAAAACACACATTGCTGCAGACAAAGCCATGGATCAGCAGATAAAGTGACACGCCAAGACCCTGCTGCTCCGAATCTTGGAGCATCTGTGGACATTAATATAATTAATGTGAAGTAACGTGTTTCAGAGGAATGGTGTACCAACATCTCTACCTTCCAATTTTCACACTAAGATCACCATCATTACAAGGAACATCTAAAGAAGGTTAACAAACATGAAACAGGAGTGAGAGGCTTTGCATTTGTCCTGGGTGTGGTGGGGATGGAGTTACCTTTCTCCATGGTGCCCCGTAGGGTGCCACAGTTTGGATTTGTGGCTAGGGCAGTGCTGATAACTCACCAATATTTTGGCTATGGCCAAGCAGCAGTTGTACAGTCAAGGCTTTCTCTCTTTCCCACTCTTCCCCTCCTGCAGTGAGTAGGTTTGGAGGGACATGACCAGGAGAGCTGACCTGAGCTCTCCCATACCCTGTGATGTTGTGCTCAGCAATACAAGCTCAGGGAAAGGAGGAGGAAGGTCTGTGGTGGTGGTGTTTGTCTTCCTAAGTACCCCACGCTGAAGTCCTCGTTCCCAAGAAGCATCTAAACATCTGCCTGCCTGTGGGAAGTGGTGACCAAACTGCTCCTCTGCTTTGCTTGCACCCCTGGCTTCAGCTTCACCTGGTGAATTGTCTTTATCTCCATCCATGGATCTCCCTGCCTGCCTTCTCTTTTCCGAAGACATAGGAGAGGGGAGGGCATGAGCAGCCATGTGGCTCTTTGGCTGTTGACCGGGGTCAACCCACCACATTATTTCATCCCAGCTTTGTTCAGAGTAGATCAGCCTGTCCCCCTAAGAACTAATACATTCCCTGAAACGTGCTTTTCATGTGTTTTTATGGACAAGGCTAAAGATGATGAATGGGTATGAAATGGAGAGTTTTTCCTAGTGATTGTAGTACCAGGAAACCAAAACTGTAGTCACCAAACCACCTGTGCCTAGATCAGTTTCCCAAAGTTGAGAAATTCAGCCATACAAACTGGTGAAAGGGGGGACTCTTGCTGCTGTAACGTCTCCTGCTCTTTTAAGAGCCTGGCCCACTTCTCCCCTTTTTTCCTTGAGGGCAGGCATGTGTCCCCTGCACTTTAAGGGATATCTTTTCACAGAATCAAATGAAAATCTATTTCATCTGTTGTTCAGCTGCCCGCCCAGCACAGGCAGCCCAAGGGGAGACCACCACAGACTCACCCGTCGGTGCAGGCTGAACTAATGCACTAATGAAACAGGCAGAAAAACTGACTCCTTTTGAGCACACAGCAAATGGATTTTCAAATAGGAAATGAGCCAGAAGATACCTTAAAAAGAAGCTGGGGTAGAGACTCCCTCAGAAGCTACACCAGGGTAAAGACTGAAGGGTGCCGAGGATGCACATCCCTCGGGGAGATTTATGGGTGACTGAATCAGAGCTACTGCTGCTGAAGACTGTTTCATTTCCCTAAATTGTCTTGCTGGCCGAGATCAAACCCTATGTACTTTCTCTCATACACCAACATCACCTTTTGCAGCACAAATGTCAAATAAATTCCTTTATAAAGTCACAAAATGACTTCAACTGTCACTGAAATGAGAAGATAAATTTGAAATTAATTTTCAGAAAAGCCTAATTTCCTGACAAAGAACTGTCATGGTGATTACCTCACAAAATAAATATTTTGATACCCACAGATATTATCCAATACCCTAATGATCTAATTATCTCATCTTATTTGAGCTACTATCCAATATTTGATATCCTTTCCACTGTGTCAAGAGGTTTTCAGCTGCATAATCCTAAAATCAGAGCCCTTGTACACAGTCAAACTTATGACCATACATAGATCAAACAGCAAGATGCAATAAAATATTTGTGGAGGTCATAAATAGAAATATTCTCTACAACCACAAAATGGCAAAGAAGAAAATGGATTTCAGGTGGTGGGTGTGCTTGTAGGTCTGGGACTGGCAGGGGCTGCCATGCTGAGCTAGGGCTTAAGCTAGGGGAGAGTCAGAGGCTAGAGTAAAAATTAGTGTCCACAAGTTCACTGCCAGAATGGACTGAGAGGTGATGCCTAAGCACTGGCCTACAGGATTTAGACTGGAAAAAAACCCACAAAAACCCAACAGGAAAATTCAAATTTATAGGGGCTTGCCAAAAACCCCCAAAGCTACAGATTTTGCCTCTGGTGGTGGTTCCAATCTCCCTCCATTTTCTAGTAATCTTTGGCTTACAAAACCACACATCTCAGTTGGTATTAACTGATGCTGCCTTTGATCTCCGAGCAGAAACGTACACAAGAAAAATGTCATAAAGTAGTATATGAGAATGAAGCCTACTTGGTTCAGCCTTTGGCTCTCATAAAGCACATTTTTCAAGAAGCATCAGACATCCTGCATCGTACCAGGTTGGGATGTAGTCCCAAGTTTCAACAAGGTAACATACACAGATATATAATTTTGTTCCTATATATATATATTTATACACAAATAATCTGTGATGATCCAGTAGCTCATAAACCTAAGAGCTGTTTTGTGCCCAGTTTCAGCACAACGTTACATGGCTACATTTTCTGGTTTGATCAAGTAGTTAATACAGAAAAGGGAGACAAATGGGTCACCAAACAAGTTTCAGGGGGACAAATGGGTAGTGAAAAATCTGGCGAGGCCACCCTATCCCAGGTGGTCTGCCAACAACCCTACAGCTTCATATTGGAAAGTCACTCTTTAACTTGAGTAACTTTTCACTCTCCTTCTGGCTCTCCCTTCTTCCCATTACCCCAAGCCTGCTTTTGAATGCCTGAATCAAACATTGTTCATCTCACAGAGTTCAAAGTTCATGACCCTACTTGTACGCAGCGTGGCATCTTACTAACTGGAAAAATTTATTCAAATACAGACTCTGTGATGAAAAGCCAACAACTGGATGCAATTTCCACAGCAAAACTTGTGTCACTTAGCTCCAAAACAAGCCTGCATTTAGTGAGCTAAAGTTCAGTGGGTCAGCGAGAGCTCACAAACACACAGGGTCTGACAAATTCTTTTCAGCCAGCGTCAATGGTGCACACAGACAGAAACACATTTCAGGCCTCAGCTCTTCTGAATCAGAGAGGATGAATCAGGATGAATAGTTTCAGCCAAACAAGGATATTTAGTATTTTTTAATCTATCTACAAAGAGCATCACTTACTATCTCTAATTAAATAACCTCTTAATGCCTGTAAACACTTGCCATCTCCTTACCTCGCTGCCACTGTGCTTACAGACATCTCCTCAGGGCAGCACCTTGCAACATCACACCTTTTGTTATCACAACTATCTTCCAAGTGGAAAATGATATTCACTTTTTAAGGGTGAGGAAATGGGGGGCAATGAGGGGGGACGGGTGGGGAAGTTTGGAAATTGTGTAGACTTAACGTGTGCACATGGTGAAGGGCTGTGCAGAGAGATCTGAGCTGGCTCTGAACAGGCTGGGGTATAGCTCTGGGCACAGCTCACTGCTCTGTGCTGTATGGCCCTGTGTTGGACTGATGGCAGGGATGTGTCAACTCATTTGGAGTTGGCTCCAGTGTCTTAACACAGCAACTGGGATAGCAGATAGTTGCAATTAGTGCTTTTACTGCTATTGGTATTGGATGGGAAATACTACATTGATTTGTCCAAGGTCACCCAAACAACCTGGAGAACAGAAGCAGAAAATTGTCCCTTCGGTTTGTCAGTCACTCCCTAGAGCAAGATTTCATATAATGAAGAGATGAAGTCATACCTGTCTAAGTGAGACGCAGACTTCAATGATTTCAGTAGAGCCAGGACCCAAGTTTCAAGATTTTGAAACCAAATAACCTTTCTTCATTGCTCAGACGGATCCTTTGAGCTTTGCCAGTCGCATTTTTCTGTGCTGAAAGAAAGATCCCAGGCCACTACAATTGGTTTATTGCTGTAAATAACTTGCTACCCAATTTACTATTGGCATGATTTTATTAATAAAGGAATTTATATTTTTTTCTAAAGTCTTTTGACAGAATTGATTTAAAATATACTAGATAGAAACCTACTATATGTCCAAATAACTTTGAATGGAGATAGACCTGTTGAATTTACTTGTGAGATTCCCTCCACACTTACAATACAAGCACTCTATTTCAAACATAATGACAGCAAAACCAAAAAATTAATGACTTGTATTAGTGATTATAACATTATTTCATGGCTATCACATACACACAGTTACCCCATCATACTGTCATGATATTTGTTTGATGTTCATATAATGACACAGTTAAGAAGAGAGTGTTCATCACCTTTTTATTAAGGTAAGGAAAAAAATGAGAAACTTCTCTCACTTGGAAGATGCTTGTTCGGAAATAATTTTGAAACACTAGCCCTCTTAGGAGAGGCAGCAAAAATATCTCTTCTATCATCTTACAAGAGCAGCCTGTGAGCCACGTTAATCATCTTGGACTGAAATTTATAACAACATGTGGAAGACTTGCTTCACTATTATTAGAAGTTGCAAATTTCATATGTGTTCTTCAACTAATTTAAGGTTCACTTCTGTTTCAAACATTACACCCTAAGTAATAAGTGCTATAAGAGGTCATTTGCATTCAGGAAATTATTTTTGGAAGAAGCTCCTGCTTGATGCAAAAGGGCAAAGGCCACTGGAACTTAAGTCAAGTGCTGACTTCTCTTAGGGCTTGATCCACACAGCCTTTGGAAGCCCATATGATTTTTTAATTCAGTTTCAAAAGATTTCAGTAATGCTGCCTTTGGAATATTTTGTCTTTAGTGATATTTTGTCAGGTTTTATTAATATTTACTCATGGCTTTGTGTATGTGCTTGTTAGAAAATGGAAGTGCACACAAGATTCTGTCTCTTCAACTAGCACTGTGACTTTTTAAAGTCTGTATTATGCTTCAAATTTAGTATTGTTATTTTGTCCTTTGAAAGAAGAAAGCCACTTTCAGAGATGCTATAACATCTCTGCATTTGGCTCTGTCAGTGTTATAGGCATGAATTTAAAAAAATGGTTGAAAAATGTTTGCATCTCTTTGGATATTGATACAGTTTCTTTGTTCTCCCTAGCAGAAAACTAGAAGTAAGGTTTTGTGCTTTGTCCTCCCCTCGCTGGATTTCAGGATGTTAGAGGTGTTTGCACAGGCCTGTTGGTGAATACTGCACTGCAGGAGTATCCATACCCCACCCTCATCCCCAAAATCAAGACCCCAAAGACTCAGCGCTACAGCAGTCATGAAAAGACATTTTGGAAGATTCTCAGCCACTTCTGGAAATCATCACCGACTATTAGTAAAGGTAACAAAGTCTGTTTACCACTGGGTACTGGTAAAAACAACGTTAGGTTTTTCTTTTACCTCGTACAGAAAGGTAGATTTAAGATCTTGTATAGAAAATCAAAGTCTACATGATGCAATCTCACCTTTGAGAAAATTCTGGTTCTCATTCACTGTTAAAGTATGTTTGAGGGATGTCACTGATAAAATTATTTAGTATTGCAATTATCACCCCGGTAAACTCAAGTGCAGTATTTTAAAAAACTCAATAATACATTCTTTAGGCAAATGTAACCTGTGCAAATTTCTCATTAGATGCAAGAAACTTCCATGCCATGGAGGCAGCCAGCACCACCCAAAGCAGAACAATTTAACACTGCTTTTAAGAGCTGCACTTCTCATGAGATTTGCCCATAGCTAAACTGGAAGCGATTTGGGAAAAATACTTTCACTTTCTGCCTTCCAGACAAACAGCTGTATAGAGCAAACTGTTCAGCTGGGAGTACTGAGTACACAGCCAGCCAGAAGGAAGAACTGAATGACTTGCAAAGCTTACAGGGGTTTATGTTTATTATACTTTTTAAAAAAGTGTTATTATATATTACATTTTTATTTATTATTATATATTATTATTATTATTTAGTATTATAAAGATGATGCCACTGTGAACAGCTCAATTAAAAACTTCTGCTCAACGTGCAGGTGGTTTTTGTAACTTCCAAATACTGGGAAAGGGTAAATATAAGACACCTATAGTTTATCTACAGCTGTATAATCAATATGTTACCTTGACTGAAATATTGCAGGCATTTGCAGAATATTGTTGATTACTCCATCTTAAGGAAACGAACTCCTCACGGAGTAACCCTAGAGAAGGGAAAAAAAAAAAATTATACAGGGCTGAAACACTGGTATTGAAAAAGCAGAGCTATTTACTATTGAAAAGAAAGAACACGGTAAATTATCTAAAGTTATGCGTAGAACAGAGGAGGCAGGTAAGAAAATGCTGTTTTCTGTTTCCCATAAAAAAAAGAACAATAGACCATATATTGGAAAGGCAGGAAATTCCATAGTGAGAAAAAGATGAATCTCTTTACCTCTCACTTTACCTAGTCAGCCCACAGGAGATGCTACCTCTGTAGTGGATTCAGAGCAGACCCAGAACACAGAAATTGACCGTAATGCGCACCTGAAAGTTTGGAAAGGATTTTTGATCTCATGCTTCGACGCTGAAACCAGTCCTTATCAGAGATCAAGGTGGAGAGCTGCCAGGTGGCAGGTTATTTTGCTTACTGAGATTTCTTGAGGATTATATGATTTCCTAGTGCCTACTTTGGTAAAGAAAACAAATTTTACGGCAGACTTGAAGGACTTGCACATGCAAGTGCAAGTTAAAACACATGCACATTATCTCTGATTTCACAGCCTCGGTCAAAATGGGTGGCTTATTAATTAAACAGCAGAAAACAGAAAAGAACATATTTCAAAGAATACGCAGCTTAATGACAGTTTCACTGGAAAAAAAATTGGTGAAAAACAGAGGAGAGAACAGAAAGACAAGAGGGGGAACATGATTCAAGAAGCAGAGTTTGCATTCCCTGTACCCCTCCGGGTACAGCTGTGTGAATGTGACGAAAAAGATGCCCATAAATATTAAGGAAATAGCTACTAGTAAGCACAGAAATATAAATTAACTGAATGTCAATTCTTAGGTTACAGAATGGCTGAATTAGATTCAAGAATATAACCCTGAGAGTCAACAATGTCTCAACAATGAGACATGTAAAAGTTATTTGCATTATATCTTAACAAAAGCAGGAGAAGCTTACCAGGCTTGTTTGAATTGGAATGAAAATAACCCGAATTCTTAGGTCCTGCGGATGCAAAACCTGCTCTGGAGGCATGCAGCTCCTCTGACAGTCACAAGAGCTGTCCTGAGCCTCATTGGCTTTCTTATTGATTACTACTCATTAACGAGATTTTTGTTTCATTGTGGTTTTCTTCAAACACCTGCCCTTCCTCTGATCCTTTGGGGAACACCAGAAGAGGTTTTCCAGAGAAACCCCAAACCAACCCCACCCTATTTCACAATGGCTGCTTCTGTGGAAATACCCTGTGAACAGAGCATCAGGATGCAAACTGTGAGGGGTATTTCACCTTTGCTGTGGGAAGCAAATGAGGCCGTGCAGATGAGATAAAACCAGTTCTTTAGCCATGTCTCAGAACCAACCTTCAACACCAGCTGAAACGAGGCAGCGCCAGTGCATTTGGGCAAACTGGTTCCAGCTCTTCTCGTCTCCCCTGCCTCTGGCACCTGCTTTGTACTTCTGGGGAAGAAAAAAGGGTGAGGAGAGTTGCCCCCCAAGGCAAAGCTCAGCTACATACCTTATCACAAGAGGAATTCTGACCTCCCCGCAAATTAAAGTTTAAATAACACGGTCCAAGCTCAGTCCGTTGCTGGAAGATGGAGAAATATTTGTTTAACATCACCACAACCTGTGGCTGGGAGGAGTCACCGTTCCTGTGCTCAGGAGCTGTAACTTCAGAAAGCAGGGAGCTGCAGACACCTGTCAGTCTCTCCTCACCCTCCACAAATTCCTGTGATTAGGAGTTCTTGTGTTGTCTGCTCTGATATTGAATTAAAAGCTCTACAGGGACCACGCTGTGAGAAACCTGAAGTGAAAAAACACCCCTGTACCGTTGGCTGATTTTTCTTTTTCTGCACAGAAAGAGGAAAGGTTTGGCCAGGCCACTGGGACCCTAAAGCAGTTGTTCCTTCTGGTGCAGGAGATCCTTCAGCGTGGTCTTAGCCTGAAAGTGCAAGAAGATGTGCCTGTCACTAAATAATTAGCATTTCTAAGCACAACATTCTTCCTATATGAACAACAGACATACATTTAATCCAGTAAGAAGGAATATGTAATTCCTTCTTATTATTTTGATAGACCTTACTTCTTATAAGAAATGCACACTCTTCACTTTCTGGAAAATATTTAGTGACATTATGGTTCTCCCAGCTAATGCCTGACTGACTGATGGAAGAGATACACAGAAAGGCAATCTCTTTTATTAAGCCAACCAGTGTAGTAAGAAAAAAATGAGCAAGCTTTTGAGCAGAGAACCTGCCCTTTTTGTTGAATGTCTAAGTAAAACCTATTTATATACATATATATATATGTATACATAAACCCTACAACTACATAAATACAAACGTAGTATTTTTAACACAGTTCAGGATCTGGTGCAGCAATTTCTCTCTACCAAGTTATTACAAGGATATTAAAATTTGCCACACAGTTTTCTCAGACTTATTGATACAAGTCATTAGTTTACATCAATCAAACTTTAGAATTAGCAAAGCAGCCAACTGAAAATTCAGTAGCTATTAATTCATTTTCCTTTGTTCTAGAGGCTTTGGACAGAATGACAAAATGCTGCAATTTGCTAATGTTGAGCTACTTTGATAATTTGTAGAAAGTATAATTTGATATCATCAATTTTATTTCCATTTTCCATTGCATTCCTAATTGTATCATCCATCCATTTTAATCAATAGGCTCCAGAAAGCCTTAAAGGTTTGGTCAAACTATTACATTTTTAATTGATCAGAAGCTTAGCTTTTGCATGCAGCAAGAGGCTCTTTTCCTTGTTAAAACTTCAGAAACAGTCGTGAGCTACTTGCTTGAAGTTCTTCAGATTTGTGTACTCAAAAATATCCTGGTACAAAGTTCACTTGACATTAAAAAAAGCTTTGTGCAGTTATCACAAAGCCAGTAGCATACAAATAACTCTATTAATCTGGGTATCCTAGGAATATTTTTTTTCTATTAACTCTTCCAGTTCTACTCATGAAAAGCCATCCTCCAGTCTTCATGAACAGCAGCAGGCCTGCTCCAGCTAAAGTTATGCCAGTACACCTTAAAACTAAACTCTGAAGGAATGTCCAATGTAATATTTCAGATCTATTACATGAGCTATGTTTTGCAAGCATCCTTTTGATTATTTGCATAGTGAATAAAGAATATGAAAGCTTTATGTTATTTCCACGACTATGGGACATATATCCATTAATACCGTGATAATCAGGCTCTTTGCTACAAAACTATGAAGAGTTAACTCCTAAGTGGTTTTATGTATCTGAGAATGATACAGGGGGGTTGAAGGTTTGTCGCTGAAGGTAAAAAAACCCCAAACAGTCAATTCTTTTGGGGTTTATCCTTGTTTCTCATCAACTAGTTGGCTGATGCTGCCAATTAGCAGGCTGATGGGAGAGAAAAGCTTGCAAGACCCAAGAAAAAAAAAAAACACAAAACCACCAAAAAACCAAACTTGTAAATTTTTAAAGCATCAGCCTTTAAATTGTGAGGATTTGGAAGCATCTGCTGAAGGAGCCAGAGACAATTCCCCAAGAGGGAAGGGCAGTAAAGCTAATGCTTTAGCCAGCATAGGCTGCTTTCCTTCAGCTGATGCTCTTCTGTGATGCTTCATAATGGAGCTCATAAATACAAAATATCTCGACTACATCGACAGGGAGCAAACAGCCACCAAGGAAAGACATACAAAAGGAGAGGGAGTAAAAGCTGTGTCTCTTCTTCCCTTGGATGGCCCAACGCCTTTGAACAGTTGCACTAGTTACGTGAAAATCCTCCAAAGGTGCCACATGTATTACAAAACTTATAATTTATGTATTTCTCCTCCAAATGAGGATCAAAATCATCAAGAAATTTTATTCGGTCTCTTATCTGCTCTTTGTCTTCTAGAACCCTACAGCAGCTTCTATGATTTCCTGTCTCTGCATTATTTTGTACAGGGTTTTTCACAGATACCACCTGATTCTTTGGGGTCTTAATTCAACAGAAGCAGCTACATCAGAAGCTACAATCTTTTGTGCCTACTTTTGCCATTACACACTTTTGTTATGAAATGGCTTTGAAAGCTTTAACATGTTATATTTTAGCATCAAAAATTACCTGGGTTTTTTGTTTGGTTTTTTTTTTGTTTTTTTTTTCCACAGGGTTTTTGAGAATTTACATTGCCAGCGTGTTTAATACCAGGGTTAAATCAGGTAACCTAGTTCTAAGCTGTCGATTAAACAGCTTTGCTGATGAATACCCCCAGATTCAAAGGCCTTCTTGGATGACTATGGATCCGAATGTCATTCTTGAATTCCTTTGAGAATGTTACCACCACTTTCCATTCCATCATAGAGGCTCTTGCCTCAAATTAGCCTGTCTAAAACTGCCTGTAGATCAGCACGTGGCAGCAAGGAAAGGAGAAGCTGTACCATAATTTCATCTTAGTCTTTCTGCTCGCTTGGAGCAGCGACAGGAGATCAACTAAAGTGTGAGAATTGTGATCCCCATTTTCCTAAATGAGCTTCGTAGGCAGGAAAAATCATTACCCCCCTCCATCAGCCCTGTGTTGCTGTGAGGTGTAATGTAGCACCTTGCAAAGGAAAAGTTTGATATTACTGCTCCTTACTGGGATTTCATTACTGAACATTTTTTGAAAGAAATTTCATGGGCAAAATCACATTGTTACATTTCTCATTGCCTCCCTTTCTCTCGGTACGTATTTTAAACAATCTGACACTCTCAGTCTGAAGATAGTCTTCCTTTCTGTTTCAGGTTTAAACTAGACTCCTAAAGTAGCCTAAATAATTTAGCACAACTAAAAATTCTTAGGCTTATACAGAATAGACAATATTTAGAGTATTTACAAGAATGCGTTACAACTTCTGGAGCTGTTTTAACATTTGAAATGTTAATGTTTGTAACACTTAAACATGGTTCTAAACACTATACAGTGTTTAGTGCTATGAGTATTGCTGGCCGCTCCAGATAGGTGTGGCAGCAACCTGGAAAGAA